CAGGGATACGTGGAGTTCATCACAGCAGCGCTTCCCTATCTGAAAGACTATGGCGTTCACCGAGATTTGGAGGTCTATAAGGCGCTGATGAATGTGTTCCCGAGGAATCGGTACCGACCCGACAACATATGGGCCGCCGGGATGTTTCACTTCCCGATGGAACAGACGGCTGCCGTTCAGATACTTTGCGAGATGGAGAAGAATGGTAGGTCTGGCCAACACAACCGGTGCTGGCCCTGGGTTTGTGGTAAATGTCTGTTAATTGTGTTTTTACTTACCGGTGCGCGATGTGTGTGACGACTGTGTGATGGGAACCGATAGGCATAATGCCAGACAAAGAGATGGAGACAATGATTATCGAGATATTCAGTAAGTATTCGTCGCCGTGGCGTAAATGCGCCCGAATGTCATACTGGATGACCAAATTCGCGAACGCCAACCCTTTCCCATTGCCCGACCCCTTGCCGTTGGACGCACTCGAGTTGGCACTACTGGCACTCAAACGCATGTGTATTGACGTCCAGACGAAGATCAGTGTCCTTTCGGTCCGTAAAGACTTTCTTAACTTTTGAATATTGTTATAATTAACTCTTTTTTGCGTCCAATCCATTGGACAGACGGCTCAAGTGGAGGGTTCGTTGGACAAGACATGGGTAGTGTCGGCACAGAGTCCGTCCCAACGCGACTTAGTGTCTGAATTGGCGGACACAGAGACGGTGTACGTCGACGGGCCGTTCAAAGTGTGGCTCCGAATGATGAATCTCTCGTATTTCACACTTCGGGCCAATAATCCGAATCCAGTCTTCCATCGCGACGACGACAACATCGATAACGACGAGTTTAACGGTTCGTTTCATCGAATCCAATGATCATTTGTTTTTGGGATTAAATTTTGTAATTTATTGTCTGTCCAGACGTGTCATCGATTCCGTTGTCGACGTTCGGCAAAGAAGATAGAGATCAAGTGTTGGCACCGAAGAAGATTATCCATCTGCAGGACGACGGCATAATACTGGCCATCGCGGCCACCGGCACCTCCAGCCGCGACTCACTCTTGTCGTGGATTCGCTTACTTCAGGCCACGAATCCGAAGCTGAAGAAACTGTCGGTTGTATTCACACAACAGGGAATGTCCACTGATATACAGGAGACGCTCGCCGATGAACGGCCACCGCCTCCGCCACTCAACACCACAACAACTGATTAACTAATTAGGCGTTTGTTTTGTAATTAATTTAAATAAATAGTTTGCGTTACAAATAAATTGAATTATTATTATAAAGTGTATTAAAAGTGTCTAATAATTAAATATCCATTTTCTCGGAGCCATACGTCGGGTAACAGGTATTTAAATTAAATTTAAAATAATTTAATTGCAATGAATTAAACATATGTTTGTTTTTAAGTAAATAATTTATTTTTATTAATAAATTAAATTGTAATGAAAAGTAAATACAAGTTTTGTTTCAATTTAAACATTTCGTGTGATTTATTATTTTATTTACAATAAAATTTAAGAGTAAAACAAAATATAGTTTGCGTCAAATGAATGGGCGAAACAAACGTCAAAATCTTAATTATAAAAATTAAACAAAAAATATAATAACTTTTAAAACACTTTTTTCTCATTCATTAAACATTATATTCTCGTAAAACTTGTCGTAAAATCATTTGTTTTCATAACATTTAACACACAATATATTATCTCTTTCTGTTCGCAACCGCTTTCTTATGGTCTGAAATCACAACCGATTTAATAAAATATATATTAAAACTTTAAATTCAAAACAAAAATCATAATAAAAACAATATTTAAATGTATTAATCAAATAAAATATATAAATATTTATAACTTTATATATATAGTACGGGAATGCAATCAACCGGAAAAGTGGCCATCGGTTCAAAACGTGGGGGCGATTGTATGGGCGCCGGTTGGGGGCCGGGAGTGACGGGTGGCTCACAATTGCACTTAATTATGATGACTAAATTGATCACTAAATCACTGAAACTCATGACTAGCTGTTCCCTAACCACTATAGTTGTCGGGCGGCGTAAACCACAACCCGAGCCCTCGGCGCCGACGCCACACATCATTACCGCCCCTTAACCTCAGACCATATCTTATATTTATATACGAGACATAGTGTCCGACCAAACACTGGACACTATATATGGTATTTAATTTATGAATTATAAACTTTATATATAGTTATTAGTGTACGGAATGGTGTGTCAAATGGTGAGCAAATTTAGGCGAATTTATCATATAATTTGGCCGCAAATTGTGTTTCTTTATTAAAAAATAAAATAAACTTAAAAACAAATCACTTTTTTGGCCATTTGTTTATCGTTTATCTCTAAACTCCTAATCCCTAAAACCACTAGAAATCCTAACATGTAATGTAAAATTCAACGCTAACTACAAGTACTTGTGTGTAAAAAACAATTCAATGGCATTTCAATTCAAAAAGGAGACTAAATTGTACACTAAGTTTGTTTATGGATTAATTAAAAACTAATCGCTAATAGATTTTTATATATATCTATAGTTTGTTAAATACAGTATCGTTTAGTTTTAATACTAGAAAAACTTATTGACTTATCATTAGGTAATACTGTACTCTTGAAATGAAAACATTATGCTATGACTTAAAAGTGGGTAATAATTAACAGAATATTCCTAACAATTCTTGAATACTATTTGTATTATTTATCGTTTCGTTTCTCTTATCGTTATTTTATTTGTTTCGTTTCCGATAGGAATGCAATTCAATAGTAATTATATAAAAAACATATATTTAGTGCAAAATTAAACGTTTTGTCTTATATTTAGTCATATCATTGGAACCGGTATTCAGGATGGAATGAAGAGGAATGTCACGTATATATACACAACACACGTATAATGTGGTCAACGATATATATATATCACGCAAATTCAGTGTATATTTCACTGGCATTTATATCTTCCGTACGATTCAATCGCTCAAAAAATAATTCATTCGTATAATTAACTCTTTGTTCGTACAAATCGTTTCATTTAATTACATGGGAGAGAGAAAGAGAGTGAGAGAGGGCTTTGGGGGGCTTATAGTAGAGGACACAGACAAACACTCGGCCGACGGCCAGAGGTTATACCACACCTCAAAGCACCGTTCGGTCAGTCATTCACAAACGCTCGGCAAATATGTATTAATTGTTAGACTGAAGTGATGGCCCAGTATTTGCTATTGTCTACTGGTTTAGGCGCCGGCGCGTACACCGCAGCCCTGTCTAACTCGTCGTCGTCGGTGGCCATCGACTGAATCGACGCCCCATTCGTATCCATTAGTAACTCATTTTGTGCCCAATTGTTTGATTCGGGTTTCGGCTTAATATTATCGCACTTTTATTGTAATTATTATTATTGTTGTGATTATAGTAATCGGTATTCAACACAACGCGTGTTGTTTGCGTTTCTGCGACCGTTTCCTTAGTATTGTTTGTAAGCAGTGTTTTAGTCTCCGTTTGCAATGACTTAGATTTGATTTGAGAACTCTTTGAAGGCAGACTTGCATAGCTTCGGGTCGTGTCCCGTGCGGTGACTGTAGTGGTGGTCGTGACGGCCGTTGCGGAGGTATTGGTGGTCGTGGGCTGCGATGTGGGCGACAGAGGCGGTGGTGTTATGCTCTCGCTTTTGGCACAAATAAATTGAATTATTATTATGAAGTGTACTAGTGTTTGACCCGTTGTGAAAACATGTCCATAAAGAACGTCAATTACGGCCAAACTACCACCACTCGTAACTATAAAACGGTATTGTTTTTAGGTATGATTTCATTGGGAAAAGTCACTTTCAGACAAAAGTCTATAATCTGTTTGGGTGTTATAAAAACGTAATTTGTTTTAACACATATCTCAGTATCCATATATGCTATCGCATGTCTGATAACATGAATCGATTCGGTGAACAAATATCTATCCATTGGTGAAGAAAACAATGAAACCGGACAAACTTTTTACGCCTAAAATGAGCGCAAAACTAAAGTTGTTAACGATTTTTGAAAAACTTGAGCTAAAAGGTGTTTTTAAAAAAGTGGTACAAAAAGTGACATGGGGATATTTGTTCGCACGGTCGAGAAATGTTCAAACCTACAATATACTTTACATAGCCTAATTTTTTGGTAAAAAATTAATTAAAACCAGTGCCCTTCGGGCACAAATAAATGGTTACAATTAGGTGTTTAGGAGGTTCGCACACCTTATGGAAATGATCTGAAGACTGATAAGGTTCGAGTTAATAAGTATGACGGTGAGGGGGTCACAGATTTAAGCATGGTTGGAATGTTACTTTGTTATGAACACAACCATAACATGAACACTTTACTAAAATATGGTATTACTTTGATTGACTTTCTCGCTCTCGCCGTTCATTCGCCGCCTCTCTCACCGTCTCTCACACACCGTTATTTTCGCAGTCTCTGTTTCGCGGCAAGTCTCGCAGCCTATTTCTCACCGCCTCTTTCTCGCAGTCTCTGGCTCGCAGTCTTAGGCTCGCAGTCAGCGGCTTGCGGCACAAATAAATGGTTCAAACAGCATGGTGTGAATGTTACTTTTGTTTATTTAGTTTTAATGAGCACAACCATAACATGAACACGTGGTCCGATCATAAATGGCCTATCCATACCTTATCTAACCTAGCCGATCTAAAACAGAATAAAATAAAATATTATTATCATAAATCATTAAAAATACATTTTACTTTTATGGATTTCTTGTTCTAAGAATGTTGTTTACTATTTACTGGATAGTTGTGTTGAGTCTGTTTATGGTGTTTTTGGTGACTGTATATTACAATATTGACAAATGTGAAATTCGGATTAACATATCCCAGTTTATAATATGTAAATATGGTCATACGAGTTTGCGACGACCAAACCCAACCCAAGCCAACATAACTAAATCTATGTTAACTAAACCATAATAATACATAATATTTTATTATGGGTCCTCTCTTTCTAGCCGGATCTGTCTCGCGCTCTCTGTCTAGCAATCTGTATCGTAGTTGCTCGCAGTCCGTTTCGCTGTTTCTGTCGAGCGGGTTTCGTGTAGCGGACTTCGTATCGCGGTCTGTCTTGCGGTCTTTGTGCTGTAGATAATGTCGCTATCAGTCCCGCAGTCTTCATGTCGCGGTCTCTGTCGCGATCTGTCCAGCGGTCTTCATGCCGCTGTCCGGCTCGCTGTCTTTGTCCTGCGGTCTTCGCATCGCGGTATGACCCCCGATCTTTTGTCCCGCGGTCTTTATGCCGCGGTGCGGCTCGCTGTATTTGTCTTGCGGTCTGTCCCGCAATCTTCATGCCGCGGTCCGGCTCGCTGTCTGTGTCCCGCGGTCTTCGCATCGCGGTCTGACCCCCGATCTTTTGTGTCGCGGTCTGTCCCGCGGTCTTCATGTCGCGGTCCGGCTCGCCGTCTTTGTCTTGCGGTTTTTGTGTCGCGGTTTTCCCATGGCGATCTGTCCCGTGGTCTGTCCCGCGGCCTTTCTCCTGTCTCAGACTCGCGATATCTGGCTCCTCGTGACTTGCAGTCTGTATCCCGGTCTTTGTCTCGCGGCCTCGCAGTCTCTGACACGCGGTGTCTCTCAGTTTTGCCGTTTGGCTTGCGGTCTCGGTCGTTTATGCTGTTTTCTCGCCGATTTTAAACGTCTGGTTTGCCATTTGTGTTTCTCGTCTCTGTCCCGATGCATACCATTATGGTTTTGTGCAATTAGGTGACACTGTACCTTTTAATATTTTCTGTCTTATTCGTTCTCTACTTGCATACCGAACCCGAGTTGCATATAAACTGAAAGTTATGACGTTTTGAAACAATAGACGTGGCGTCGGGTATATTTTCCGAGGCGTTGGTTATAAATGGAAGGCTTGGGTACATTTACAAAAACGTTAGGGCTACTTCGGAGGCCTGGATAGATTGCCTGTGGCGTTGGCTATACCTCGGAGACCTTTTTAACAATGGAAATCCCCACGCGCTCGCATTTTAAATTAAACAACTCACACAGAGCGATGCTATACGTTAACCACAATTGGGGTATTACTCACACACAGCGATGCTATACGTTAACCACAATTGGGGTATTACTCATACACAGCGATGCTATTGCATTTTAAATTAAACAACTCACACAGAGCGATGCTATACGTTAACCACAATTGGGGTATTACTCACACACAGCTATGCTA